CCTGTGAGAGTGTGAGACTCCGGTCTTCCTGCCCATTTGAAGGAGTGTTGGAGGTCGTGGAAGAAGAGGCTGACGATCTCCAGACTTATTATCCATATTCCCATATTCCTGTATTACTTGTGATTGTGTGTGTGTGTTCATGTAATTTGCGTCAGTAAATCCACACATTTTATTACTGTGTTTGAGTGTGCCTCCATTTGTGATTTTCTCTATGAGCATACATTTCTGGCTACAAACGATATATGATACACCCACTGAACTGCATTGCTGGGGTGCAGATATAATAACCCAGCTGGCGACCTTGCTAAGAGGAAGATAGAGAAGACAGGCGGGAAAGGAGTTCCTGCAACCTTTTTTTGTCTGGCAGGCAAGACTCAGGGAGGTTATGGTTATAGGTAAGCCTGAGTCTTCCTTCACTCCCCCACGGGTCTAGGCCGGAACTGTTAACAGCAGTTTCCCCGTGGTTGACTGAAGGGCTTCCAGGGTGAATCAGTGGCACCCCTTTGTGGTGGAAGCAAAGACCTGCGGAGGTGGGCATTGTTGGTCCTATCTTGTGTGACCAAGGAGACTCCGGTGAATCCAGGGAGTCGGAGGGGCTGAGTATTTGAGCCCCTAGCAGCCGAGTGTTAGCAGAGCCCCGGACCGCCCACCCCCACGTGACAACAGGTAACACAAGGGCCCTTTGAGCCACAGGTAACACAAGACAGGTAACACAAGGTAACACAACACAGGTGACACAAGACAGTAAGCCACAGCCCCGGACCGCCCACCCCCACGTGACAACAGGTAACACAGTAACACAACACAGGTAACACAAGACACAACACAGGTAACACCCCACAGTAACACAACACAGTAACACAACACAGGTAACACAAGACAGGTAACACAAGACAGGTAACACAAGACAGGTAACACAACACAGGTAACACAAGACAGTAACACAACACAGGTAACACAAGACAGGTAACACAAGACAGGTAACACAACACAGGTAACACAAGACACAGGTAACACAAGACAGGTAACACAAGACAGGTAACACAACACAGGTAACACAAGACAGGTAACACAACACAGGTAACACAAGACAGGTAACACAACACAGGTAACACAAGACAGGTAACACAACACAGGTAACACAAGACAGGTAACACAACACAGGTAACACAACACAGGTAACACAAGACAGGTAACACAACACAGGTAACACAAGACAGGTAACACACACAACACAGGTAACACAAGACAGGTAACACAACACAGGTAACACAACACAGGTAACACAAGACAGGTAACACAACACAGGTAACACAAGACAGGTAACACAACACAGGTAACACAACACAGGTAACACAACACAGGTAACACAACACAGGTAACACAACACAGGTAACACAACACAGGTAACACAACACAGGTAAACACAACACAGGTAACACAACACAGGTAACACAACACAGGTAACACAACACAGGTAACACAACACAGGTAACACAACACAGGTAACACAAGACAGGTAACACAGGTAACACAAGACAGGTAACACACAACACAAGGTAACACAACACAGGTAACACAGGTAACACAAGACAGGTAACACAAGACAGGTAACACAAGACAGGTAACACAACACAGGTAACACAACACACAACACAGGTAACACAACACAGGTAACACAACACAGGTAACACAACACAGGTAACACAACACAGGTAACACAACACAGGTAACACAACACAGGTAACACAAGACAGGTAACACAAGACAGGTAACACAACACAGGTAACACAACACAGGTAACACAACACAGGTAACACAAGACAGGTAACACAAGACAGGTAACACACAGGTAACACAAGACAGGTAACACAACACAGGTAACACAAGACAGGTAACACAAGACAGGTAACACAACACAGGTAACACAACACAGGTAACACAACACAGGTAACACAACACAACAACACAGGTAACACAACACAGGTAACACAAGACAGGTAACACAACACAGGTAACACACAGGTAACACAACACAGGTAACACAACACAGGTAACACAAGACAGGTAACACAACACAGGTAACACAACACAGTAACACAGGACAGTAACACAACACAGGTAATACAAGACATGTAACACAAGACAGGTAACACAAGACAGGTAACACAAGACAGTAACACAAGACAGTAACACAACACAGGTAACACAAGACATGTAACACAAGACAGGTAACACAAGACAGGTAACACAAGACAGGTAACACAAGACAGTAACACAAGACAGTAACACAACACAGGTAACACAAGACATGTAACACAAGACAGGTAACACAAGACAGTAACACAACACAGGTGACACAAGACAGGTAACACAACACAGGTAACACAAGACAGGTAACACAACACAGGTAACACAACACAGTAACACAGGACAGTAACACAACACAGGTAATACAAGACATGTAACACAAGACATGTAACACAAGACAGGTAACACAACACAGTAACACAGGACAGTAACACAACACAGGTAATACAAGACATGTAACACAAGACAGGTAACACAAGACAGGTAACACAAGACAGTAACACAACACAGTAACACAGGACAGTAACACAACACAGGTAATACAAGACATGTAACACAAGACAGGTAACACAACACAGGTAACACAACACAGGTAACACAACACAGGTAACACAACACAGGTACACAGATCACTGGTCCTCTACAGACACTATAAAAGGTGAAATATTTGTAAATGTGTGCCTGTGCCAGAGCTGCGGGTGGTGGCAGCCACCAGGGTGAACTCTCAAGTGCCGTCAACAGCTCCCGGGAGCGTGTTTACAACCATTACCATTGTTTACACTTGAGAGACACATGTGTGTCGTAAGTCACTTGTAAGAGGTATACAGTTGACCGTCGTGCGGGCCCACACGCGCGCCCCTCACTGTGCAAATTACTAACCTCACTAAGAACATTACTGTAAACTTCTGGTAAACGAAGGACTAAATATAAGAGTAAAGAAATAATTCACTTGGTAAATAAGGGAAAATACCAAATGGACAGACTACTGTGTTTTTTACCATGACGAGTCAATCTAAAACGGTTTATAATAAAGTGGTTTATAAGTAAATATACGGAACATGTACATCTATATGATAAGAGGTCTTGTTAGTGTGTGCGAGGTGGGAGGCCAGACTGTTGTGGTTAGCCTCAGGCACCTTTCCATGGAGAATTATGACTGTCGAGTGTCATATGGAGGGTGAAGTCGACCGCCCCCCCCCCCCATGCCCCTCAATAAGTGGGACTGGCTCTTGTTGCGTTAACAAACGACTCCTATGATGTGTGTGTTTCATCGCCCATACTGTGTGTGCCAGCCCAAGTCTCGGCAGTTACCCACGGTGATTCCACGTCGAAACGTTTGTGCAGTGTCGAGATCGCCGAGTCTACGTCAGTAAGTTGATTCACAGGTACACGAGGACGACCTGCCTACAGGGAGAGACAACGGTAGGGTGAGACAACGGTAGGGAGAGACAACAGGAGGGTGAGACAACGGTAAGGAGAGACAACGGTAGGGAGAGACAATGGTAGGGAGAGACAATGGTAGGGAGAGACAATGGTAGGGAGAGACAACGGTTGGGAGAGACAACGGTAGGGAGAGACAACAGGAGGGTGAGACAACGGTAAGGAGAGACAACGGTAGGGAGAGACAATGGTAGGGAGAGACAACGGTAGGGAGAGACAATGGTAGGGAGAGACAACGGTAGGGAGAGACAACGGTAGGGAGAGACAACGGTAAGGAGAGACAACGGTAGGGAGAGACAACGGTAGGGAGAGACAACGGTAGGGAGAGACAACGGTAGGGTGAGACAACGGTAGGGTGAGACAACGGTAGGGAGAGACAACGGGAGGGTGAGACAACGGTAGGGAGAGACAACGGTAGGGAGAGACAACAGGAGGGTGAGACAACGGCAGGGAGAGACAACGGCAGGGAGAGACAACGGCAGGGAGAGACAACGGTAGGGAGAGACAACAGGAGGGTGAGCCAACGGTAGGGAGAGACAACAGGAGGGAGAGACAACGGAAGGGAGAGACAACGGTAGGGAGAGACAACAGTAGGGAGAGACAACGGTAGGGAGAGACAACGGTAGGGAGAGACAACGGTAGGGAGAGACAACAGTAGGGAGAGACAACGGTAGGGAGAGACAACGGGAGGGTGTGAAGGAGGAAAAATGGAATGGGATGGAGGGGGGGGGGAGGAGGAATTGGGGAGAGAGATGGTGGTTGCCACTGTTGCCTGCCCAATGGTTGCCACTGTTGCCTGTCCAATGGTTGCCACTGTTGCCTGCCCAATGGTTGCCACTGTTGCCTGTCCAATGGTTGCCACTGTTGCCTGCCCAATGGTTGCCACTGTTGCCTGCCCAATGGTTGTTAACGACCAGTGTTGCCAACGACCAGTGTTGCCAACGACCAGGGTTGCCAACGACCAGTGTTGCCAACGACCAGTGTTGCCAACGACCAGTGTTGCCAACGACCAGTGTTGCCAATGACCCGTGTTGCCAACAACCAGTGTTGCCAACGACCAGTGTTGCCAACAACCAGTGTTGCCAACGACCAGTGTTGCCAACGACTCGTGTCCAACGACCAGTGTTGCCAACGACCCGTGTCCAACGACCAGTGTTGTTAACGACCAGTGTTGCCAACGACCCGTGTCCAACGACCCGTGTTGCCAACGACCAGTGTCCAACGACCAGTGTTGCCAACGACCCGTGTTGCCAACGACCAGTGTTGCCAACAACCAGTGTTGCCAACAACCAGTGTTGCCAACAACCAGTGTTGCCAACGACCAGTGTTGCCAACGACCAGTGTTGCCAACAACCAGTGTTGCCAACGACCAGTGTTGCCAACGACCAGTGTTGCCAACAACCAGTGTTGCCAACGACCAGTGTTGCCAACAACCAGTGTAGCTAACAACCAGTGTTGCCAACAACCAGTGTTGCCAACGACCAGTGTTGCCAACGACCCGTGTTGCCAACGACCAGTGTTGCCAACGACCAGTGTGGCCAACGACCCGTGTTGCCAACGACCCGTGTTGCCAACGACCAGTGTTGCCAACGACCCGTGTCCAACGACCAGTGTTGCCAACGACCCGTGTCCAACGACCAGTGTTGCCAACGACCAGTGTCCAACGACCAGTATTGCCAACGACCCGTGTTGCCAATGACCAGTGTTGCCAACGACCAGTGTTGCCAACGACCAGTGTTGCCAACGACCAGTGTTGCCAACGACTCGTGTCCAACGACCAGTGTTGCCAACGACCAGTGTTGCCAACGACCCATGTCCAACGGCCAGTGTTGCCAACGACCAGTGTTCTTCAGAGTGTTGGGTGGACAGAGTAACTGGGCGGAAGTGGCACCTTATATGTGTTAATCTGTTGGGTCTTTTGTTAATTTTACCCTGTTGTCTGTTGCTGATTATTGACCGTTATTTCTTGAGCTTACCCTGGCCGCTTGTTTACCTGGCCGCTTGTTTACCTGGCCGCTTGCTTTCGTGACTGCTTGTTTACCTGGCCGCTTGTTTACCTGGCCGCTTGCTTTCGTGACTGCTTGTTTACCTGGCCGCTTGTTTACCTGGCCGCTTGTTTACCTGTCCGCTTGCTTTCGTGGCCGCTTGTTTACCTGGCCGCTTGTTTACCTGGCCGCTTGCTTTCGTGACTGCTTGTTTACCTGGCCGCTTGTTTACCTGGCCGCTTGCTTTCGTGACTGCTTGTTTACCTGGCCGCTTGTTTACCTGGCCGCTTGTTTACCTGGCCGCTTGTTTACCTGTCCGCTTGCTTTCGTGGCTGCTTGTTTACCTGGCCGCTTGTTTACCTGGCCGCTTGCTTTCGTGACTGCTTGTTTACCTGGCCGCTTGTTTACCTGGCCGCTTGTTTACCTGGCCGCTTGCTTTCGTGACTGCTTGTTTACCTGGCCGCTTGTTTACCTGGCCGCTTGTTTACCTGGCCGCTTGCTTTCGTGACTGCTTGTTTACCTGGCCGCTTGTTTACCTGGCCGCTTGTTTACCTGGCCGCTTGTTTACCTGTCCGCTTGCTTTCGTGGCTGCTTGTTTACCTGTCCGCTTGCTTTCGTGGCTGCTTGTTTACCTGGCCGCTTGTTTACCTGGCCGCTTGTTTACCTGTCCGCTTGCTTTCGTGGCTGCTTGTTTACCTGGCCGATTGTTTACCTGGCTGGTTGTTTATCTGACCGCTTGTTTACCTGGCCGCTTGTTTACCTGGCGGCTTGTTTACCAGGCTGTTTACCTGGGTGATTGTTTACCTGGCCGCTTGTTTACCTGGCGGCTTGTTTACCAGGCTGTTTACCTGGGTGATTGTTTACCTGGCCGCTTGTTTACCTGCGGCTTGTTTACCTGGCGGCTTGTTTACCAGGCTGTTTACCTGGGTGATTGTTTACCTGGCCGCTTGTTTATCTGGCCGCTTGTTTACCTGGCCGCTTGTTTACCTGGCTGTTTACCTGGGTGATTGTTTACCTGGCCGCTTGTTTACCTGGCGGCTTGTTTACCTGGCGGCTTGTTTACCAGGCTGTTTACCTGGCCGCTTGTTTACCTGGCCGCTTGTTTACCTGGCCGCTTGTTTACCTGGCGGCTTGTTTACCAGGCTGTTTACCTGGCCGCTTGTTTACCTTGCCGCTTGTTTACCTTTCGGCTTGTTTACCTGGCGGCTTGTTTACCAGGCTGTTTACCTGGCCGCTTGTTTACCTGGCCGCTTGTTTACCTGGCCGCTTGTTTACCTGCTGCTTGTTTACCTGGCTACATAATGCTCAAACAACAAACATTACAGATAATATTATGCGCGATCAGTCCAAGGTCAAGTTGTGTCGCAAGAGTCAATTACATAATTACAATAATAATTCAGAGCTGCGTACTCACTAAACACCAGGTATCATGTCCCTCCGGTATACCTGCTTGTAGTGGTCAGTCTGGCAGTGGGCGCCAGGTATGGTCGTCTCACTTCCCTCCGGTACACCTGCTTGTAGTGGTCAGTCTGGCAGTGGGCGCCAGGTATGGTCGTCTCACTTCCCTCCGGTACACCTGCTTGTAGTGGTCAGTCTGGCAGTGGGCGCCAGGTATGGTCGTCTCACTTCCCTCCGGTACACCTGCTTGTAGTGGTCAGTCTGGCAGTGGGCGCCAGGTATGGTCGTCTCACTTCCCTCCGGTATACCTGCTTGTAGTGGTCAGTCTGGCAGTGGGCACCAGGTATGGTCGTCTTATCAATAACTGGTTCATAAGCTGGTTTAACAATGTAGTAATTTATTCTCTCAACCCATTTCTGCGACTCAGCCTATTAATGTTTCAGTGTCCTTATCTTTTATCTGTACATTGTGAGTTACGTGCACGTTGTTAGTGTCCTTATCTTTTACCTGTACATCGTGAGTTCCGTGCACGTTGTTAGTGTCCTTATCTTTTACCTGAACATTGTGAGTTACCTGCACGTTGTTAGTGTCCTTATCTTTTACCTGAACATTGTGAGTTACCTGCACGTTGTTAGTGTCCTTATCTTTTACCTGAACATCGTGAGTTACGTGCACGTTGTTAGTGTCCTTATATTTTACCTGAACATTGTGAGTTACGTGCACGTTGTTAGTGTCCTTATCTTTTACCTGAACATTGTGAGTTACCTGCACGTTGTTAGTGTCCTTATCTTTTACCTGAACATCGTGAGTTACGTGCACGTTGTTAGTGTCCTTATCTTTTACCTGAACATTGTGAGTTACGTGCACGTTGTTAGTGTCCTTATCTTTTACCTGAACATTGTGAGTTACCTGCACGTTGTGCCGTGTTCTCTTCCTGGTGGCGGCGGGAACCGTTGTTAGGTCGGCCCCAAACTTAAAGATTAACATCAAATATTTACACAGGGAAGAGCTCTTTCCCACTAATATTTTTACTGCAACACTGGTAGAGTGGCGGTCGACCACAACACTGGTAGAGTGGCGGTCGACCACAACACTGGTACAGTGGCGGTCGACCACAACACTGGTACAGTGGCGGTCGACCACAACACTGGTACAGTGGCGGTCGACCACAACACTGGTACAGTGGCGGTCGACCACAACACTGGTACAGTGGCGGTCGACCACAACACTGGTACAGTGGCGGTCGACCACAACACTGGTACAGTGACGGTCGACCACAACACTGGTACAGTGGCGGTCGACCACAACACTGGTACAGTGGCGGTCGACC